CTGTCTGTCTGTCTGTCTGTCTGTCTGTCTGTCTATCTGTCTGTCTGTCTGTCTGTCTGTCTGTCTGTCTGTCTGGCACAGTCACAACACTTTACAGGTATGTCATTGAGATATAAATGAAGGCGGAGCTGATCAAGTGAAAGAAAGCAGATTTGGCTTTGTGGCTGGTGTGATTTCATCCCCAAATGTTGTTTAGCTATTGTATTTTATTTGTTTAGTTAACAGCTTGTTAGATTAAACCTCTCGATCTTAAACATTTGATATGATAATGTGAGCTGCAGTAGACTAATGGCTACCTGTGAGTATACTGTATATTGCAATAGCAGAACTTAGAAGCGAGGCTCTCCCCTAAGGCAACATATGTTTGGTATTGGCACGTTGGATATTTGCTCCAATTTGGCTGTCTCAACTATACATATTAATTGTATCCTTGCTCATCTTAAACTGGATGCTGATTCCAATACTTAATTGTTGTTCTACTTTAATAATGTATCCTTCATTCAGTTAATGACAAGCCAGTGCATGTACGTTTTTGGCAGAGCAGCATCACCTTGCCAGTTCATGTAGTTGGCCAGTGTCACAATAATTGAATGTTTACAAATGCAAACCAATGGGCCCTGCAGCACATGGCTGGTACTTGGTTCAATCATGCATGTAATGATTTGGTATTGATCCACTGCTGTAACGGGCTAATGAAGAGTCTATGAAAACCATTTAAGCAATCAATTAAATGCCACTGAGGATATAGAGAGTGAGGGCAAGGACTATGCTTTACGAGGTGTTATTAAGTGCAATTTCCTGCTGTCAGGGATTGGCACCTACACATTGTGCTACTATACATGGCATTCACTTCTAGGGAGGGTGTGGGTGTGGGTGTTCTTGAAAGCATCTGTGGGCTTAGTGGCATTTTGTGTTTTCTGTCCCCTCAGTGAGTGCCATGCAGGTACGGATAAAGAAGGCACTAGCTGGACAGATAGTGAGCCTGAAGATGTCAGACTCTCATTAAAGATGCAGCACGGCTTACTTCCACTCCTCACATCTAGTTGAGAGGAGTGGAGCATAAGGTTCCGGCTCTGGACTGCACTGTGCAGACATTTGACCACTCCATGTTACATGCTTGCATGTCATTTAAGTACTCAATTTACACTTTTTAGGATTCTCTGATTGCAAGATATTATATATATTCCATTACTTAGAAAGATGTTTCCCAAAATCTAACCCACAAGTTACTTTGAATTCAGCTGCACAGCATGCAGTGATGTTCTACTTAATCAAGCTTTTCCAAACTCATTTATCACAACTTCCTCCCTCCAGAGATGTCAAGCTGAGGCATGTCTCTAACGTCTAGCCTCCACACTTCCTGCTGTTCCGACAAGACAGAGGTGAAAATGGAAGACTGAAGAACATAATCTCTCAAACAGGCGGGTGAGGGCTGCAATCTTTGGGGTTTAACCCCCTGTAAGTCCCTTAAATACCCAGTTTAGAGGGCCAGAACTGATGGGCTAAAGCCCCAAGAGATGGTCTGCTAACCACTGGACTCAGACACAGCATGTGGACAGAGAATGAAAGATCCCCTGCCACGATTACTGCAGCCACTTCATCCGACTGAAGTCCTATTCAAAGGATTGGATGTGCTTAATTGGCATCACCACAGTAATATTTGTTAACTCATCATATGGTTAAAAGAATCTCAACATGAGAACACTGTAGACAGTTTTGTGGGTCTGTGTAAATACTGACTGATGTTTTCCTTCAGGGATAACAAATTGATTGCTCAGTGAATACATGTCATGTTTATGTGATGACTGTAAGGATGCTAGGGCTGACTACTGACCTACTCCTGCCAACTCCTAACAAGGGAAACATGATATTTGTTATCACAACATGTGTACTTTAAAATAAGGTTAACAATGGGCTGTATAAAAAAAAGTTAATTTAAGTCGGATGGTATGTTAAAATAGCAGAAAATTGTTGTCTTATGTTAAAGGTACTTATTACAGAAAAACAAACCTGCATGAGCATTAATGAATGGCTAGAAGAAATAAGGGTTATTGGCGCCATCTGCTGACCAAATACATAACTTTTGTCTTTCCTCACATGAAACATAAATGGCATAAAAGGTCTTACCAGGAGCAGCAGGATCAAGAGTGTCTCCTGTACACCTTTCTGGAGAAATAGATCTCACTGTCTTAAATCAAATGTTAAAGTTAAACACATAATAATGCAATTAGACTCCCTCACATTCAAAACATTACTTTTCAGGAGCATTGGAAAGCTCATTGAGTCTGTCGGCCAAATTAGGATTAAAGTCATTATAGAATCGGAGTAAAAAAAGAAAGAAAATTTGACAAGATTTAGTCATAATAACGGACATCCTACAAAGAAATAGTTGGTGCTCGTGAATTAATTTCAGAAAAAAAAAAGAAAAAGTTTGAGAAACACTGCGCAAGTGGATTGTCAAAGAAAAAAATGTCTATGCAAACGTTATTAATTATTAAATTAATCAATTTTTTTTTATAATTTTTTTTTTTAATTTTCCATTTTTATTTTGTAATCATCTTGCGACCCCCACTTTGGGAACCCCTGCCCTAACCAACCCCTGCCTAACCCTAACTGCGGGTGGCTAGCTAGCTGTAAAACTGTAAAACAGTTAGCTAGCTAGTTAGCTGAGTGACAACAAACTGGCTCTAGCTAAAACGTGTGTTAATTTATTTAGCTTGTTAGCTGACTAACGTTGGTTAATAAAGTCACTTACTAAGTTACCGTGGAAGGAAGGCTTCATATAGTCTATGGTAGGCCCTAGCTTTGGTCAACTAGCCTACACTGGTCTGTGTGTTGTGCTAACAACAACGTCAATGACATAATATAAACAAAACACATGGCATTGCTGTACCTACACAAGGGTCTTCCACTCTATGCCATATATAATTTGTAATTTATTGTTCCCAAAGTTCAAAACATATTTTATTTCAGAATGCAACTGTTTTTTTCCTTATTTTGTATTCTCACACAAGTTGTAAAACGACAAAAAACAGTCTTTGAATTAGCTGGCTCTATTCCTGCTGGAACAATCCTCAGCATGGCTGTTAAAAATGACAGTAAATGTATTGGATTTCAGACAAGTTCACATCCCTTTTAACTAAGTTAGCTTGCTACAGCCCTTCTGACTCACTCTCTCCAAATTGATGCTGTTTGGTGTGATGATCATTTACCAAGAGACAAAGCAGAATTGGGAGTTATAATATGATTGCTGTTTTATAATGCTTTTTTAGATGTCTTTTAATTTTCTAAGGCAAACAAAGCTAAACCTGTCCTTGTGTTGGTTGATACCCCTACGCTGTAATAAGTTAACTCATGGAAATAAGTGGAAATAAGTTCCTTAAAGAAACCGTTGAACTCTCCAAGTAACATCTCTAATGATTTTGGCAGATAATTCTAAAACTCAATTGTCACTTCTAATGATGACTCCAAGCTTTTGGTCCCGCCGAGACTGTCTGGATCTTTCTAATTTCCTTGATTTGTTTACTGTTCGTATAAGACATGTTGAGGCAATGGGACTAACTAAGAACATATTTGCCTTGCAGGAATGGGAGAGCAGCATCTGAGAGCAAGCATGTTTTGCTGTACAACTTCAGCACTGTGATGTGCTTTAGCTTTTGCAGAGGGCCTCCTTCAGGTAAGTGTATTTTAAGCCTGAAAGTAGTATCGTATACAATCATATAAAATGCCCTTGTAAGTTTACCACTTACACAAAAGCTGTTGAGTCAAAAATGTTTGGCATTACACTAGCTAAAGAGCCATTGAGTCTGCTGTTCTCAAATGATGCAACATAAAACAAGAGGACCAGAGCTACTGGTGCCCCAATAGCTAAATCTTGACTGAAATATTTGGATCCTTCTACAGGGGCTACATCTCTGTCACATGGCACCCAATGTTATGTTATGCCTCTGCAGTAATATAATCACTTGTGTATATATTCAGTATCACACAAGTGATAAGGACAACATTTGGACTATATTTGACTCAAGAGCACCCTCTACTGCACTTACTTATATCAGCTTACAGAAACTCACAGACAGGACATTGAGGAAAACTGCATTTGCAGAGGTTTGTTACAGACACAACAACTAATGAATGGTTTTTCAGTCTTTACTACTGTGTATAAGATCTATGTAGTTGTAAAGAAAGACCGTATGTTGTATCTATGTTATGTGTACAACAAACTTGGTGACCTTCATGCCTTGTTTGCTGTTTTGTGGTAGCTAATATTTCTTGTTGTGGAGTCACTGTGTAACCTTACACTTTATTTATTCCTGGCTGCTTTTGCTTCCTAGCCAACGGAAGAAGAGTAGAGTATTTGTGTTGTTAAAGTTAAATAAAGTATTGTGGCAGCAGCAGCTGTTTGTGTTTCATGAACGCCATTGGATGGGTGGTTCATTATACCAGCAGTTGCCAGTAGATAAGTAGGAATGGAAATATCTACTGTAGCAGACCTGCAACAAAACTAAGACCGGCAATAAACTCGCCCTCATCACATTAGATAATAACTTAATGTCAGCTTAATGCTTTGTTTATGTAGCAAGCCATACATAAAACCAGGTTCACAAAGTGTTTCCTGCCTACAGATCATTTTAACAGTTTGACTTGTCATAGCAGGAAGTGTACAGTTGGAATTGATAACTTTAACAATGCCTCTGCACACATGTACTGTACCAGACAACTTTCTAAGTGAACTGCAGCTATCATTAATGGGGCGAAGCCTGCGAGCTAGTTCAGACAGTCAACTCCAGCACTTATGCTGCATTCATACACAACGTCCCTTGCCACTCTACAACCAACCAAACAGAGTCTTCTTGATATGCCGCTCTATTTAACCTGCCAGATATCTCTCTATGCATTGCTTGCTGCTGCTATTGCTGCAGCTACTTCGACGTTGCTGCTGCTTGCCTGCCCCACCACCACCCCAGCTTCCACCCCAGCTTCCACCTGTAGGCTCGGGGGGTTAGTTATTTAATCATCACTCATCGTGCTATGTATATCTGTGGAGTGATGAGGCCCGAGCCTAGACGCCAAACTCAACTATATGCTGCTTCTAATAAACATGTTAAAGAAACACGTGAGTTGTCTGACTGAAATGTTATTATGAGGGTTGCATTTAACAGAAAATGGTTTAAACGAGCCGTGGTGAGAACCTTTCTAAGATAAGTGCAAAACACTTTAACGTGTCACACACCTAATGTGGTGTCTAGCACACCTAACCTGCTGAAAAATACTGACTCGTTGAAGTTAATTACATTTTATAATCATGTAGATCGTTCTGCTGTAGTCTCATAATGCATTGGGTGAAATCTTACAAGGTGCACAGCCTCCAATACCCCTCCTCTGGTTTATTGACTACATTTGGAATCTTAAGTCGAACTAAATTATTGAACACTGAATCTGAAAAACACATCACTATCACAGCTGATCTTTTTTTGTTGTTGATCATTTTAACTTAAAACATTTTAACCAGTAGATGGCAGCAATGTGAATCAAATAACTGTATCAACTATTGCTACACAGCTTCAGCAACAGTGAGCACAGGATTCCCCATGTTGCAGGGAGAATCAGATGCAACTCAACCATTACTATACTCTGAAAATACAAAATCTTATCCTGTTTTACCCAATTCCACCCCCATACTTATTTATGTTTCTGTCTTGGACAGATCACATATCGGCCTGCATTTTCTTATTATCCTAGTGGGCACTAAATAGCAACTCATTGTGTGACATGTTCTGAAATTGTTTCTCACCTGCAGTGCATTTGGGTATCTCCCTTAGTTTCAAAGTGGAATGATCTTTGGTTGTGTTACAGAAAGAAACAACCACTACAAAAAATGGGGAAAGGTGAGGTTTTGATTTGGAACATTTGTGAAATGATCGGTTTTATATTAAGTTGTAACCCTGTTACTCTAAAGAGGCTCAAACAATTGCAGCAAAACGTTCAAATATAAGTCGAATAGTGTGTAAGATACGTTAGTCATGTTTTTGTTTAATTAAAAACACCAAGGGAAATTGTTCAGAAGTTGGGATTTAAAATGTTGTTAATTAATAAGGCTACTGACACTGCAAGTCCCTGTAGGGATATTGTAGTGAGTTTTAGTTGGGGCACTTAGCTGAAGTAAACAGACAGGGAGGGGAGTGTGCGCTAGGCTTTGGAAACAGGCATGCAGACAGCCGACCACTGCAAAGTGTTGAGCGCGGGACAGACTGGCTTTAGCCCACACCGCTCTCCCTCTCTCCAAGAGAAGACCCGAACCTCTCATCCCAACCAATTATGTGAAAATCAGACGGGAACGTTAGTCAGATGTTTAAACTCATCGTCGCTTCATTGTACTTGAGTGCGGTCTATTTTCAACACTGTCACACAGTTTGCAGCCAGGCTACATATCCACAAGGATACCTGGTGTGAGATGCGGCAATGTCCCGAGGAATATGCCCACGCGTAATCTCTTGCGGATCCTTTTGGATTTTGTCAGCGGTCATATTTGCGGCACATTTGATCGACGTGGACGCGTACAGCTGTCATGAAGTGAAGACCGCTTTCCAGCTGCGGCAGGTCGGGCCGCTGCACCGCGTCCCGGAGACACCTGGCACAGGTGAGCCAGTGGGTTAGGCACCTCATGGCGAAGAGCACTTTGGCTGAAGTCTAGTTCCAACCTCATATTTTGTTATGGATCCGCAGTCAGTTTATTAATGGATCAGCAGAGAGTAGTCGTGCATTTAACATAAGCGACTATAATAGCGATGTCAGCAAATAACCTGCACGTGCAAATGTGTTAAATAGTTTTAGAAGAAGAAAAAGCCTTTGATTATTTCCAATGCTTCTAACCATTCTGTATGTCTGTCAAAAGCACACGTGGGTCAGCACACTTGCTGTGAGTGATCTCCCAGCAGCAAAAGTAAGCCCACTCAAGTGGCAACAGCAGCAACAGATAGAAAGGCTGAGATATAACTGATAGATCTTTCTGTCTTCACTTTTATCATATTATTCTTGTCAGTTGAGGAGACCTTTTAAACAGTTTGACCAACACATATCTGTCTTATGTTGGCAAAGTTATTGGTTATGATTTGTCTGGGGAAATCTAAGTTAAGTGAAGTGTGTCTGTCAATCCCTTTTCATTTTGCCAGGCATCATATCAGTCCATCGTTGTTCTGAACATCCAAAATGTTGTATTATACTTAATATAACAAGTAACTCAGTATATACAGTATAAGCAACCTCTGATGTGTCTGTTTAAAGCATCAGAGCCTCTTGAGTTTTGCCACAACTTAAACATTGCTACACCAACAGTTATTATTTGTGTTTCTTTGATACCTGCTTAGTTTTTGATCTAGAACCAGGGTAGTGTGTTGCTGATGTCTCATGATTTAATCTCTGTGGATAAAGAGTCAACAATATTGTGTCCACAACAGGAGGAGTGAATGATTTGAACAAGCCACCGACAACTCTTATGCCCCCTGGTATTTAGATACTTTGGGTGGCATAGGCCCTTAAGAGTCCATGCCCTTTAGCTCAGGTTCAGCACCTCTGTGGACTGGTGCAATTGCATTTTTAGTTTGTCAGATTTCTGCCAGTGCGATGCTTGAAAGCAGCTTCAAACGCCTTGAAGGTTTTGTGGTATGTGCTTTCCTCATGCACACTGAGGAAAGGTTTTTTTATGAGAATAAACATCAGCTCCAAATCTGTTTTGGAGGCAAAATGCATTTTTAGCAGGTTTAGGCTTGAGTTCAACTATGCTTAGTTTGCTTAACAGTTTTTCTGTAAGCATAGTGAGAAACTTTTAACCGATTATGTCATATTTCCTCTATGTGGGGCCGTCTGTGTTGACATATATATACAATTTGGCTATTCAGTGTAAATTATTATGTTTTTACTATAGTCTTTTGAAGCCTTTCATCATTTCTATACATTTCATAATTTGAGTGTGTCTTTCAGTTGGCTGCTTTTCCTGGCAAATACTGAAATACTATCTCAATAGTGTTGCATTCAGGTTTGTGGCAGCTTGAGTATCACCCAGTCTGAGTATGCAAGCTGTAACACTGAGAAGAGCAATAGATAGCTGAGTGGTAAACATACCTAGAGGGGCATCCAAACCACTTGATATGTTTGTTTAGCAGGGTGTCACTACTAGCAACAGAGGATGTCAACTTTATTGCAAGCAGTCGTTTTGGAAAGGACCTTGGTCTTCTTAGGATGTCAGGCGTCTAGAGAAACAGGATTGCGTGACAATATTTTACAGTCTGCAGTGTATTGGCAGAAGCTACATAAGTATCCCAGCCTACAATAGCAGCTGTTGATGAGCATTTTACCTGACTGTGAACATAGCAGCATACGTATGGTCTGAAGTCTATGGAACAGTCATTACTTTCAAATTATTTTTTCCCCCCACCTCTATATTTTATTTCTGAGACGCACCCTCCATAACATCTTTGTAAAACTGGGCTGCTATGATGCAGATACAAACTGCGGCTTTTTGGTCTGGACTATTAATTGAAATAAATATTTGTGTGTAAAACATCTGTTGAACTGCATTTACTGTCCAAGACCTCTCTGCCCCTTCACAGCTAATCAAACATTGCTTTAACATTTTGGGCTTCTATCTTATTTTGCTTTTTATTTGTATTTCACCTAGAGAGGTTGTTTTGGGTCAGGCGCAATCTTGTCTTCAAAGCACTAACCATGGAAGCCGGTGTTTGAGTGGGAGAATTGGTGTATATGTGTGTGTGTACACAATTACGCTACTCTGTTTCAGTTCTCAGATCAAATGCCAATAAAAGCAACTCTTGAAATTCGAAGTGGCAAAGCTTCAGCCCTTTTCACAGTCTGATGTTTGTTTTAGGATACAGTGCTGCGTTTCATTCATGTGTGGCGAACTGATTTCTCCCTAAGCGCCAGGAGTGTGGCAGCAGGGAACTTAAGAGTTGGCCAATTGGATATGATCCCATATGAAAAGAATCACACTTTTACGGTACAGATGAATATTTCTGTTTTCAAAAACGGCCACGATACGTAGTGATCATGCCTTATGAATTTATCCTGTTGGCTAGCAGAGATTGCAGAAGTACTAACATTCTTTAGAAAAATATGAAATTATGTAATAACTTAAATTAATATTTTAGGTAGATGTCCTACCCTATTCGATGTTATACTATTTCTGTTATTTATTTACTGCTAATAGGGATATTAAGTCCTTTAGAGGCACTCAACATTTATAGAAACATACTTAGTTACATATGTGGGCTGAAACTGTTGTATTGAATGGCCATATAATGACTGGGGAGTATTTGACCAATACTGTATGTCCTTGTATTGAATTATTTCAGACCAAAAATATTTGCTCTTCAGGCATTAAACATGTTCTCTGGGCCACACTTTATAAAGAGTGACTTTATCTCCATGCCAGATTCAGCTTCAAAGGAACTTGAATAATCAGTGAAATGAAGTTGCTTATCCTGTGATTATTTTTAAGAGTTATGACCACTTTGGTACGGCGGTACACAGCCAAATGCTCCATATTGAAATTACTACAGATTGCTGATTTAGCCCTTTGGAGATAGATCATTTTGAAAGCAGACAGCTCGCAGTGCTGCTCACAGACACACACATTCTACTGCTGGCTTCTTGGATAATGTCCTCAGATATGATCAACCAATTTTCAAGCTCAGTTAAAACTATCTGATTGAACAGGGCTTATCTGATTGTGTACATACCACACACAGAAGACTTTGTTCGACTTATTACTGTTAACAGACTTGGCAAGCTCTCAAAGCTCGGGGTGTTCTTTGATTGACTGTAGTTATATTTGATTCACTTTTTAACGTGGCCTTTCTCACTGAGAGAGCATGCCCGTGTTGAATAGGTACTTTACTCTGTTCACACCTAAAATGATTAGGCATGTCTTTTATTCCCCCGTCCTCTCTATCACCTACTCAATGTAATGTAAATGCACACAAGAACATTAAAAAAAACTAAATCCAGTCAAATCTATTAGTGGTAAATAAAAGATAAAACCCAGACGTCTTTGCGTAAAAAGAAGGTAGAGATGAATGAACTGACCAGCACCCTAGATGCTCTTTCTTTATCCTACACAAACACTCCAGCCTTCCCAGTGTGGTCCAATTATAAAGCTAATTACTGTCTGAGTCGATCTATGCACATCTCTTATTGGATTTCAGCCTTAGTCTAGTTTTCGAGTCAATTGTGTGTGTCCTTACACTCCTTGCTTGCTACTGTGTTAGCAGCCCATGTCATTTTATGATGTTAGTACACTGTCAAGTATATCATCTTCATATCCAATAATATAACCGTTTAGACAAGATGGACTTTCTGTGCTCTAGGGACAGAAATAGTGCATGAGAGGAGAGCTGGTTTCTGAGAGGGAGTGTTTAACAGACTATTTTAAATGCTAACATAATTACTCTGCCAGTTAGTGGCTGAGCACCCCTCTGATAATTCTGCTTTAACAGATCTGCATCAGCCCATCAGCCTCTTTCTAAACTCTTGCTGTCCAACCTCTTCCCTCTGGAGCGACTTTGGAACCTGTGCCAAGCACTTTAGGTCTTTCCAGCTCAGGGTTTGCGAAAGCTAAACATTCCAGTAGTTTCAAGGTTGGCCAAAGGTGCAGGTATGCAGCATATACCCTTTTGAGACGTGTTTTCATTCAACATGGTCCATCCAAAACACAGCAGATCTGTGTAGAGTAAATATCCTGTATGTTCAGTGGATCTGTGATCTTCAAAGTGAGCTGGCTTCCTGAGGCAGGAGAAGGGTTACTGCATTAATTGGCTACTTTCTAACAAAGTTATTCTTGTTCTCCGAAAAACATCAAAACGGCAGCATTAGCAACCCTCACCGTCATCAACACATTCCAAATCATAACAACTTTTCCACACCATATTGAGATGTGAGCAGTATAAACATACTTTTCTGGGTGCAAAGGTTTATGCATGTGTGTTTTTAAAAAGTCTGGTAATAACTAACCATCTTATCTGCAGTATACTGTACTCAGCTCTGTTACTGTAGTACCACATTTTGAGAATGGCATGCAAGTTAGCAGGGCAATTATTCAGTGGTAGAGTTTCTCCACTCTGGAGTTTTGATGTGTGAACTGAAGGGCACTGAGGTGTTGCTGAGGGGATTGTGACTGGCAAATCAAGACCCCTGAGCCATGGCTTTAATACGGCAAATTACTCTAGAGGTATTTGTCATCTGAGGACGATTAAGGGAATTAAGATTCAGAGTTGACATCCAGTCTGGAGAGCAAAGTGTGTTGAGGTTTAGCTAGTCAGAATTAAAAGTTTTCACATTAGCCACTAAGTACAAAGGACCAGTATAATTCAGTCCTCTTTGGCCATTCGAGTCAATACAATGTCACATTAAAGCCAAGAGTTGATATGTGAAATCAGATAAATAGCTACGGCTTGTAGATAAATTGACATCGGCGAGTGAGAAACTTTGAAATTTGCAAAATAATAAACAAATTCCGCGGAAAGTGGTGATATCCCTGTCCTCCCTCACACTTTGTACCGGTATATCCCTGTTAGTGCATTTAATCTGTTATTGCTTAAAGGGGACCTATCATGCAAAATGCACTTTTGTACGTCTTTTATACATGAATATGTGTCCCCGGTGTGTCAGGGAACTCACCAAGTGTCAGAAAACACAACCCTCTCTCTTTTCCTCCATAC